TCCCAGTAGGAGCTTTTACGGTCATGTCAAAATGAGCCACAGTGAAACCCAGTGCAGTCTAAGTTTCTTCAGTGCCAGCTGTACTTTCTGAATAACCTGCCCAACCAGCCATTCCTCAGCAGTCTAGGAAGGGTGCCAGCAGGGCTGAGCCGCCCAGCCCTGGAAGAACAGCAAGGGGAGCTCTGGCAATCATCAGCCCTGACTTGTGTCCTTGGAATGGCATCCTTTAAAGGACTTTTCCTTCTTACACATCCATCTGCCTAAAGCAAACCCAGTCACTCTTGGACTTCTTCACATCACTGAGCTGTCTGTCAATCTAAGCTATCTGTCACTTTCATCTGGTGACAGTGGCTCATCAGACAGGATCATAGTCAGTCAGGATGAAAACATAGAACACACCAGACAGGTTCCACATACTCAAGGTGCTATTATATAACAAAGTATCTTCTCTAAACAGAAAACATTTCAACGCCTATGTGTTCCTCAATACTCTAACAGCACCATCGAAGCACTCTGTACTCCATCAAAATGAATTTATATTCTGCTATGGATAAGTGGTGTGTGTGTGTGTGTGTGTGTGTGTGTGTGTGTGTGTGTGTGTGTGTGTGTGTTTTAAATATCCCTGGGTATATATGATTATGTTGGTTCCAATGATAAGTATCAATTTAACACACCAGACTGAGGGCAGCAAACATGGCAAGAATTGCCACCACCAACCCACAACAGCCATCATTAAAGTATTGAGGGACTCTGCCCAGGTAGACAACCTACACTCCAGGCAGCCATTATCAGTCAATCCAAATCAAAGATAAATATCACATCCACCACCAGACTCAAGTTGGGAAAGAAATGTATCGGTTCTATAAAAATATGGGGCTGCCACATCTCAATCAGAATATCATATATTCTGATCTGGAAAAGAGGTTTTCCTGATCCAAAGAGGTTTTCCCTCACTAGAGACAGATAGACACACACACACACACACACACACACACACACACACACACACACACACACTCACTTTTCTCATTTTTCCCCTACCTGGTGCTTGAATGTGTGTGTGTGTGTGTGTGTGTGTGTGTGTGTGTGTGTGTGTGTGTGTTTCTGTCTATCTTCTTACAATCTATTTCAGCTTTTTCTTTTGAATCTAGACTGATAATAAAACAATAAAGCTGAAACTTAAAGTGGTTTAGAATAAGAAAAAGTTCTCAAAAAAACTTGTTCCAGTAGCTTGCATTCTCATTTTATTTTATTTATTTAATGTGTGTATAGGTAAGCATGTGTTGCATTCGTATAGTGTATTTGTGTGAATGTACCCACAAAGGTCTACACTGAGTAGCTTTATCATCCTCCACTGTATTTTTGAGACAGCATCTCTTGTTGAACCTGGAGCTCACCCAGTGGATAGACTGGCTAGCCTGCAAGTCCTAGGAACCTTCAGTCTCCAGCTCTCAGCTCTGGGATTATGGGTGCATATTTCCAATACCACCACTCCCCGCTTTTTACATAAGTGGTAGGTATCTGAACTCAGGTCCTCATGTTTGAGGACTGAGTCATTTCCCAGCTCAGCCTCCCCATTTCAATAGCTACTGCTTGCTCCTTTAAAATTTCTAGGCTAATGTTTGCTAAAAATTCTTTTTTGTTTAAAGTTTATTTTAATTTATGCACACACAGGTATGAGGGTATGCCAAATGCATGCAGGTGCCCATGATTGGTAGAGAGAGTTGGATTCCCTGGAGCTGGAGTCACAGTGGTTGTGAGCTGCCTGATGTAGGTACTGGGAATCCAACCAGGGTCCCCTGGAAAAAATGGCAAGTGCTTTTAACTGCAACACCTTCTCTCTAGCCCCCAGGAATTCTGATAATTTAGTTAGAATTTTTAAGATGTGTCTGAATTGTGTGAACGCCTCACAGAGGTCTCTATTAGGTATCTTTATCATGCTCCACTGTAGCAAGAAAACAGAAAAGACTGAGGTAAAAGGAGGCAAACCAAGAGTATTTCCCAGGTGCAGATCAAAGGGCTTCTTACCATTACACCACACAGCTCAAAGCTTAGGTTCAAATTCAAGTCTATACAGACAAGTTCACTTTGCAATTCTCCTCCCCCCTGCAAAGTCCACAGAAAGGTGTGACTCAGGGCTGGAAAAGGAGGGGTGAAGACAATAAAACCCAGGTGTCCCGGGAGTCCATACATTCAGGGATGACTTATATTCTAAAAGGAATATATACACAGGACCATACAAATAGAACATTTAGAGTCCTTGAAATTTAATGCCATTAAGTTTTTACTTAAAGGTAAGAATTCAAAGTACTTGTCATCTGAAACTTCTTTAGAGAAAGTAGACACAAAAATGCTGGTTCCCATGGTAACTTTAGTACACATTTGCACCTAGTGTTCTGTGGTACTCAGTCCTCTCATTCACATTCTAATTTCTTCTGGAAAACAGGATCAAGTGTGAGGACACAAAGTACAAGGTAACACTCTTATTAAAACGTCCTTAGCAGAGAGTGTAGCCTTGGTGGCTCTGGGTTGTTAGGAAGTTGTTCTTTCTGATTTTGCTCATTAATATCTATTAATGAGCTCATTAATAACCATAATTAAAGCCTTGCTCCTACAGGTGTATATGACAATGAAGATTTAGACCAAGCACGCCTGGCTCAGGCAAGGTTGAGGACCTAAGAAGAACCGAATGCTCAGAGAACACACGAAATGACTTAAACCAGCACTTTATTCCTCCTTACCCCACTGCCACTTTCCAAGGAGAGCACTAACACCCAGCCATACAAAGCAATCACCCATCAGGTGTAGCCTAACCGCTATAGGAAAATATGAGGGTCCTGAGGCTGGGGTGGCATGGAGTGAAGCAGTGCTGCAAGGCTCTGTCTCTGTGGCCAGGCCAGCCTCCTAAACTGTCCTTATCTCCCTACACGGCATCTGCGGTGAAGAGTGAGGCTCTTCCCAAAGACTTCCCAACTCCTTCCTAGCAAAATTCCTCAAACACCCCAAACCTAGAAAAGGTTTATGACTTCAGAAGGGCTGTCTCCTTTTAGTGGGTGATGGCTACATAAACTAATGTGACCTTTTTGCCTTGGCTGCCTAGGAGGACACTGCTGTGTTTAATCCTCACTCAAGGCAACTCCCTGGGGAGAGGTGGCTTGGCATGCTGGCTGTCTAGATCCCTGCTGTGTTTTCCACTTCCCACTTTAAGAGACTTATTGTATACATGTCACGGACTGTAAGTTGCCTGAAGCTTTTCATGGGTACAATTGGGGTATAAATTAAAGGCAAAGTAGGCAAATGCAGATTGTTGTTTGCTGCCTGGAAACACTGCTAACAGACTGGAACAAAGAAATAAAACAACAACAACAAAAGAGGCCCCTCATGCCAATGGCTTCTTTGCTATCATGCGTTGGTCATGCTAGGATAAAAATCAGCATTGGAAAGAACACACTCTCTCTGAGCACTACATCCAGATCCTTGGGAGGGCGTGTATACAGTATTTTAAATCACAATTTAATCAACAGGTACAAAGTAACATGTAAACTCAGCTCCCAGTCTAGTTCATTGACGTTTTCATGTTTTACACCCAAAAACTATCTTCCTAAAGAGCCAAGACTTTAAACATTGGTGCTCCGGCTCCTAAACTATAAACTTGAAGGAAAAATAATACACTGTCCACAAAAGGGAAACAGAATTCCCAGTCTTCCCTGCATTTCAGACCTGCTCCCGTTTAAGGGACAGTCAGCTCCTGTTTGCCCATTCCATACAGCCAGTCCTCTCCTTCAATGTTCATCAAAGACATTAACAGTGCTCCTTTTTAGACATCTTCTATGGTAGGCTAGCAAAGCACCACAAAAATGGGATTTGTGGTGAAAGCAAGTTCTTGCCCCAATTTAGGAAAAACAATAAATTTCCACTTCTTATTGAAGCACAACAAGCAACTGAGTGCAGACATCGGAGTCAACAGCCTCTAGGCCCGGCACAGCCATCAACTCTCAGAAGTCAACTGGCAATCCAGACAGGAAAGAAACAAATCAGGAAGAGAAGACACAGCAACCCAGCAGAGCCTGCCGGAAAGGAGGGGGAAAGAGACAGTGACTACTGAACATACAAACCACCAGCTTAAAACCCATTCTGCTCTCTCCTCCCAGCCATCACACTTTCCTTCCCTTTGGGTGTTGATGCCCAGAAACCTCTTACTGTGGGAGTATACTGAACAGGATTCCTACAAGTGAAGAGGCTTCTAGGGAAAGGCCAATGCCACAGTTGACCCATTGCTTACAATACAGTAAGGCTAAATACTTACCCTGTCCTGAGTGCAGGCCCTTAAAGCCAAACCACATGGCTCAGATCCCAGCCCCTTTTATGACTGGTGAAACCCTAGCAACTTATTCAGTGTCTCGCTGTCCCTATTTCCCCATTTATAAGATGGAATGATCATGGTTTGACCTCATGTGGTTCTCAGGATTAAACACTATCAGGGAAGTATAATAAACTACCCCCTCTCAGACGAACCCACATGTCTTACAGATGATGCCTGCAAATTCTCTTCCTTTCCCGGCCCACTTAGTTCAAGGATGGCAAGGCTGGTCACTCTATTTCTAGAAATTAAATTGGGGCAGAAAGAAATGCTAGACTCCTGCCATCTGCTAGATCCATGCTTAATTGCAGCTTTACACTTCCTCAGCAACTTTTAAAAACATAACAGGTACTTACCAATAATATAACTAGAAAAGAACCTAGCACAGACTTTTTCAGGTCCTATTACGTAGGCTCTCTACTGTAAGTTATAGATGGGGAAACAAAGGACCATGGAAAACCAACTCTCCTCTGAACCGAGAAGGGATCACTTCCTAGAAATGATTATGGTTCCTGGTCTTGGACCCCGAAGCATTGTGAGGAATAAGTCATGTGACAATGGAGAGTTCTCTCTCTCTCTCTCTCTCTCTCTCTCTCTCTCTCTCTCTCTCTCTCTCTCTCTCTCATATTTGGCAAGGACAAAAAAAGCCTACATTTATTCTTAACTCTTCTCTTTATGGTTGGGTATGTAATGGCCCCTGACAACGTCCATGTCTGTGGAGTGTGTTATTTTCACAAAGTAAGAATAACTCTACAGAAACAATTGTGAATATTGAGATGGAAAAAATTATCTTGGGTAACCCAGTTTGTCCCATGGAGTCACCAAAGTCCTCATAAGAGGCAGGCAGGAAGGTCAGCACGGGGGAGGAGGTGTGAGGGAGGAGAGGATGCTACAGCTGGTTCAGAGAAAGAAGGGGGAGTCAGAAGCCGTGGGAGGCAACTGGCCCCTAGAAGATGGAAAAGAAAAGGACATGGGTTCTCCCCAGAGCTTCCTGAAGAAGCCACCTTTATGACCCTATGGCTTTAGCGACCATGAAACTGACTTACACATCTAACCTTCAGAACTATAAGGGAATAAATCTCAGTGTGGTTTTAGATCATTGAGCTTGTGATAACTGTTAAAGCAGCAATAGCAGATGAGTTTGACTCATCTAGAATCTTTCTTTTACCACCACCCTCCATTGCCTCACCAGCACCTAATACCTAATGTTCAGTATTGGTGTCCCTTGGTTCCTGAGGGCTTGCTTTCTCAGTCCCTTGGCTACTTTGGGCTTGCTTACTGTACCCCTTTGCTACTGTGGGCTTGGTTACTGTACCCCTCAGTCACTGTACCCTTTGGCTACTGTGCCCCTTGGTTACTGTACCCCTCAGTTACTGTACCCTTTGGCTACTTTAAAGACTGTGCCAGGTCCTGGAATTTTTCCTTCTTTTTAACTTTTTTGCCCACTGTGATTAAGTATCCACACTCCTACAGCCATATTACTCCTCCAGAACCAACAAAGACAAGGACTATGGACTGAGGCCTCCGAAACTAGGAGCCAAAATAATCCTTCTGCTCTAAAGGTATTTAATTATGTAAAGATGTGTTACACTTGTCCGTGTTGCATTTGTTTAATTATGTAAAGATGTGTTACATTTGTTTGTGCTGCGTTTGTTTAACTATGTAAAGATGTGTTGCTGTTTCACCTTGCCTGCCTAAGGCACCTGACTGGTCTAATAAAAAGCTGGTGGTCTAATCAACAGCTAGGCATAGGAGGGATAGGTGGGGCAGGTGGGCAGAAAGAATAAGTAGGAGGAGAAATCTAAGCTTGAGAGGGAGAAGAGAGAACAAGGGAGAAAGAGAGGGAGATGCCTGGGGCCAGCCAGGCAGGCAGCTGCCAGCCAGCCAGACACACAAAAGGGCATGCAGAGTGAAAGAAAGGTAAAAAGCCCCGGACAAGATGTAGATGAAGAAAAACCGGTAAATTTAAGTTATAAGAGCTAGTAGAACAAACATAAGACAGGGCTGAGCATTCATAACGAATAGTTAAGTCTCTGTGTCATGATTTGGGAGCTGGTTGGTGGCCCAAAAAGAAAAGTCTGTTAGAAAAGTCTGACACCTTCCCCTACTCATTCAGGGACTATTTACTGAACACTTTCTATACACCAGGCTCCACTGTATGCATTTAATAGTATAAGCAATTCCGAAATACTCCCCACCTGTGTAGGAGGGGAGCTCTTTCTCTCGTACTTCCTCAGAGCCCTGCTACAGGTACCCATGGCATGGTGGAGCCTAACGCCTTCTCTTCCATGTTCTGTGACAGACACTAAAGGAAGTATACCACACCAAGTGACCACCAAAGAGGATGGGATGCAGGAGGAAGGAGGAGGTGACGGAGCGGCATAAGCGAAGACAAGGACACACATGTGCCCCGGAATGTGATGGTGGATGTCAAGGTTTGCTAGCGGTCTCCAGCACAACTCTTAACCTTGCATGTCACATCTGTTGCATCAGCAGAAACATACAATTTTTGTAGGCGTTCCTAAAACGTATGGCTTTTGAAACATTTGAAAAGAAATTTAAAACTCTGTAACATGAAGAAATGCATGGACCTCCTCTGTCTTGAATAATGAAACACCTAACAGGTGCAGGGTATGCAAACCTGGTAAGTAACTAGAAGATAATTTATAATGGCAGCCTGGGCCTAGACTGTACTCAAGTGTTGTATTAAACAACTTCAGCTCCTTTCTAAAGTAACAGGGCCATCAAGGTTTCTGACGTTTTTACTATGATAACCCTCTTAGCAGCAGGGTGAAGGGCAGGATACTGCGCCAGGCAAGGCTGAGCCAAAGTGCAAAGGAGAAGCCAAGGAGACCAGTCACCAGCATCCATGTGGTGCACACTAAAAGGAAGAGGGAGCGCTTCAAAACATTAGTTTCCATGAGCTCAAGGAACTCCACTCTGAGGAATGGACCCAAGAGACATGAAAACCTGAAACACAAATACTTAACACACAAATGTTCACAGCTGTGAATCTACAGGAGCAGAAGGAGAAGCAGCCCAAAACCCAGGAACTCTCGAATGGCTAAGTAAAATATGACACATTTACCAGCTGTAAAAATGAAGTACTGGTTTGTGCGCATCATGGCTGACTTTGAAAAGATCATGTTAGTAGATGAAGCTAGTTACAGAATCACAACTGTGTGACTTCGATAACATGAAATTCCCCAACAGAAAAGAAGGCAGAAGCTGCCCAGAGCTCGGGAAGTTTGGGGCAAGTGGAGAATGCATGTTAATGAGCCCAGCACTCATTTCTGAGAAATGAAAAAAAAGATAAAAGTTATTGTGATGGTTGCGCAATCTGTGACTGCAACAGAAAAACTGTGAGTTATGTAACTGCAGTGGGATATTTGTATAGTACGTCAATTACTCTCTCAACAGAGCAAGCGCTTTAGTAAAGGGGCCAGGAAATGCAGAGGGACAAGAGCTGAAGTCAGCTAATTCGGTTCATGTACAGAGGTCTCCTTTCTGCTGCCCAGATGGCAAATGTAGTGTGTTGCATCTCCTTGCGACTCACTCAAAAGACAATCAATAAAAGAGAGTTGTTCTGCTTGAGGCAGGGTCAGGAGGCCCAAACCCAGTTGTTTGCCTTCTCTGACACCCAGGCTAGCAGACACGAAAGTGCCTTTAGGCTCATGGGATGCAATCTGAAGCCATTCCCCACAGCCACAATGCTGAGATATGTGGGAATGTCAAGCATGTCTGTAGGGAAATCAGCCAAAAGCCCTGTCACACCCGAGAACTGGAGACTGTATGTCCTTATGGAAGCCAGCCTCATTCCAGCAAGCACATCCCTTCAATCTAAGACACAGCCTTCAGCCCAACCACCTTCCTGACACCAGCGTCAGGAGAACCAGTGGCATTTACAGAAAGTTGGGGAAGTTTGTTTCTATACCTTCTCACAGGCTTTCTAAGAGCTTCAGTGGATGCAACATAGTCTAGAAGTGTTAAAATGTTCAGAAAATCTCTTTCATATCCCAGTCTTATGAAGTATTTGAGCATAACCACGGCCCTGGTAACCTTTAACTTTCTTCAACAATGGTGAGTTTTTGAATTGCAAATAGCTTACCTCCTCCATTACAGGTATGTCTATAGCATGGGTACTCTGACATATACAGTTCCTGTTTCCTGCCCTCATTTTATAAGTCATCAAAACTGAATGTTGCCTTTGTCTGAACACTTTCATACATAACCCTTTCGTTCTCTTACTGCTCCCAAAGCACACAGATTCTCTAACAGGCTCTCTGCGCTAAGCCCAATCCTCCACTCTGCTCTGACCCACTTTCCAAGTCCCACTGAAACCTTGCCTCCTAAGATCTTCTCTGCAGTCATCACCTTCTTTCCCCTTTGAAGAACAGGATGACCCAGGTTTCCAAATTAAATTCCTAACTACCTGGTTCTAATCACAACCCACCCAGTGAGGCCTGTGGACACAAACCTTATCTGGCTTCCTTCCTACTCAGCCCTCTTATCCACTTTATTTAGGTCAGTCTAAATGCCTGGACCTATCTCAATCATCATCGACTCTTATCTTCATAAGGATGCTAAGGAGGGCCATGATACAGGGAACGATACAGCCATGGTGGGTGTATCATTCACAAAGATACAAAGTGCTTGGTCCAGAGCAAGGTGATCATTTACCAACTTGTAAGCAATTCGCCATTCTCCAGTTTCACTGATGTTTCTACAACTCACACCTTAATATTAACAAACTGGAAAAGGCTTGTCTGGACTTTCGCACATTCGAGTGACACACACACACACACACACACACACACACACACACACACACACTTTGCATTTGGTCTCTTCTCCACCCAAACATAGTCTCAGTGCACTTCAGTTCCATTCTCACTCTCTGCCACTGGAGCAGAGCTGGCCCCAGTTAGCAGTAAGAACTGGAGAAAGAGCAAAGAAACCACCTACTTGTCCTTTACCTGGGAGGACTGCCCTAGAGTCCTTCAGGAGGGATGGAGGTAGATGTATCTGTGTGAAGGAAGGGGCAGGGAACATGACTGGGTGGTTAGATGGTAAGACTCAGTACCTGACAGCCTGTGTTAAGACTGTAGTGGCTCTCCCCTCTCTTAAACATAAGATTTTGAAAATATCTTGGTACTTGTGCTAACAAAGTCAGCATGAACTTGAACTAACCATTCTCCACATTTAGTTATACCTGATAACTAAACCTCATACAGTGTTTTATTTTCCATGTGGGTTTTTACATATCTTACTGTTAAACAGTACCATTTCCAAGTGCGCTCCTTAGAGTTCATTAGAACCAGGCAAAAGAAACACTTGCTGGTTGCTGGTTTCTTTCTCAAATAAAGCAGGATAAGATAAAACAAATGAACGCTTGTGAATATTATTCTGCGGGATTCGAGAAGAAGACTAAAAGCCTGGTTCAACTACAGAGAGTAGTCTCCTCATCTGGGCCACACAGAAGCAATGAAAAGCAGTTGTCTCAACTAGGACCTCAGATCCTGTAAAATGTAATTTCATAAAGGTTGCTTTCTTTTACAAACCTCCAGGTTTATGTAAATTAATTCCTTGAAGAACTATTTTTTTTTTTTTGGTTTTTTTTCAAGACAGGGTTTCTCTGCGTAGCTTTGCGCCTTTCCTGGGACTCACTTGGTAGCCCAGGCTGGCCTCGAACTCACAGAGATCCGCCTGGCTCTGCCTCCCGAGTGCTGGGATTAAAGGCGTGCGCCACCACCGCCCGGCTCCTTGAAGAACTTTTTATTAAAGCTAATTTAAAGATTTACAGGAAAAAATAAAAGACATAAAAGAGGGAAGTCAATGAAACTATTAAGTCTTTTTTTAATTGATTAATTCTTATTTTATGTGTATGGGTATTTTACCTGCATGTATGTATGTGCACCATGTACATGCAATGCCTGCAAGAGACCAGAAGAGGGCATCAGATTACCCTGGAATTGGAGTTACAGAAGGTTGTGAGTCACCCTGTGGGTGCTGGGAATCAAACTCCTCCGGTCCTCTGGGAGAATAGCAAGTGCTTTTAACCACCAGGCCATCACTCTAGCCCATGAAACAATTATGTTTTAGTTTTTTTTTTTTTAAAGGAGAGGGGGCAAAATGCCTGCTTCTTTCCAGCAGCAGCTGCTGCCTGCCCTACACGGCATCCAGACTGCCAGTTCTGACCACAGAGCTATCCCCTCAGCACTGATTAAACGCACCTGGCTGCAGGTGCAGGGGCAGAGGTCTACCATGAAGCCATCAGTATGTACAGAAGCCTGAAAACAAGAAGAAGGGGATGCCTACCTGTGTCCCTTTCCTCCCAACTTTCAAAACCCAAACTTGCCCTCCACTGCATGACACAGAACTGTGAACTCAGCATTTTAAAAGAACAGAGGATAAAAGTATTATATGCAGGATGCCCCCATTGAGGACCTGGGGATTCACTATGAAAATGGTCTCCTGATCATCATCTTTTTTCAGTTGTTTACACACAGGTACTTTTTTTTAATCCTTGTATTTATTTATTTATTGAAGGGTTTTGCCTTCTACTTCAACCTGGAACTGAGGATCTTCCTGCTTCCGCCTCTTGAGTGCTGAGACGATGACACTCATGCACCTCCACACTCACTGTTTTATTCATGTGTTTTCTAACTCACTAAACTCCAGTATTTTGTAATTATTTTATGTTCCTAATAAGCCAACTCAATTATAATCAGAAAAAAAAGTGAGTGTGGATATACATACATACATACATACATAGATGCAGATGTGTATACCTGATACATAAAATCTTCCTGAGAAGTATTACTCAAAGTTTTCTATTGAATGTTTGCTGAGAGGGTAAATGAAATAAGGTAAGCAGTTTTATCACCACAAATCATATAGCTGTATTTTGTTAATGTCTCATATTATATAACATTAGAGATAAGCATGCTTGAAAGTATTTATACTTAATTTCTCTAAATTCCAATGGCAGAATTCACCCTAATACTTTAAGACATATCTCCACTCCCAGCTCTGGCTGGCAAGGACCTTTAAGAATGTGGCTCTGAACACTGGCACAGGCTTTGCCCACTTATCTGGTTACCTTAAACCAGCACAGTACGCAACAGACTAGTAACTCCTGGCAGAAGGACTCAAGGTGTATGCAGGAGGACTTATTTATCTCCCACCATTAAAAATGAAGAATGCACCTACACATCCAGGTTTTCCAATTTTCCTGAATTGCTGGGATATACGAGAATACTGAGGTCACCAAGGCAAGGATGGTCAAGGCTGAATTCACAACCTACTGTATGGTGATCCCTTGCCACACAGCACGATCCCACGCCCATCTTAACTTCCTCAGCCACGAGACCAGCTAGCTGGCTCTATCTCCCTATAGAAAGTAAGCTTGACTCAGATGTGGGTCTGAATGCTGGGCTTAGTACTTGGGTACCGTTACTTCAATCCTTGCTTCTCATCTACTAAAGAAGCTATCTCCTCTACAGGTGAGGGTAAGATTTGAAAACATAAAGTGAAAAGAACTAAGCACAGTATGCCACTCACTGACCTACAGAAATGGCAGCTGACATATTATCATCAAATGACTAGGCATGTCAGGCATGCAAGTGAAGGGCTTCCATTGAAGCTGAAATGATTATGGAAATCTGTTTCAAGTCCTCCAATTTAGAAGCAAGTTCAGTCATTAGGGACTCACTAGACTTTTACTTCTGCCTGG